ACAGGCTCAAGTGGGGAACCAGGACCCCAGATTTGTGAAATGCCCACATCCCGAGCATCGTGGTTTGGCCCCGCAGGCTTCAACAAGGCCCCCTGGCGCCAAGACACGTGAAGAGACCCTTTGGAGGCCACCAGCATGGGGCCTGCCGGGGCCAAGATCTCACCGAAAAAGGGTCCCCGACATGTTTGGCTTCAAACAAGGGCACGGGAAATCTGAGTTTGTGTCCGGTTACCAACGCCACTACCAGCAGGCTCGGAGACGACCAAAAGACCAAGGGAATCACAGTAGAGGTGTAAAAATACTGAACACCCACTTCCAAACTTGAATGGGAACTGCGACTCCGGTCAAAAATGAGCAACAGGAAGAATTGCCAAACATTTGTTCTGTGGACTTCGCCTTTGTTTTTGTGGACCTCCCATTCGAGCTTTATCAGGATTTCTTGTCCGGTGTGTATCGACGTTCTTCTCGCTGGCCTCCATCCTGCAGGGAGGGATCTACGGAACAGGCCGCCAGCAGCGTCCAGAAGGATCGCCCGAAGTCGCTGCTCCGCGGTTTGCAGCCCCCTGACCCTGGCCGAGCTCCAGAGGCAAGTGGTGCCGAAGGCAACATGGAGTGCGGCGAAACAGCGGGAAACCTCTTAATCCCTTCCCATCAGTAAATCTGGCCCTGATGAGAATTACGACTGCTTAGGCCAAGGTCCAAAAAAGGACTCCCCCCCTTTACTTCTAATTCACCCAATACGAAACCAATGGGAAACTTCTGGCAGCCATTAGGGGGTACTTTCAGCACTAATTGTAAAGTCGAGTCAAATTGCAAATTGTATTTTTTATTCCCGCCTTTTAAAATTGAATTGACCAATCCAACAATGTGCTTCGAGCAATTCCCGGCAGATTGCAGTTTGATGTTTTTTTGCGCCGGGCAGAGCGGGACCCTGTTTGGACGAGGACCGTAGTGGAAATCCCCTGGGACCCTATTCGTAACAGTATGCCCGGGGGAAAAACTACAACTATTAAAGGGGGGGCGGCGCCCGAGATTCAACAGGGGAAAGCGATATGATGATCACAGCATATCACAGCCTTGCAAAGAACCAGCACGTTCAAAGGGGCGCTGGCACTAGGAAGCGACGAAGGCTCCAAGCGGAGCAAGCCCTGCCCCCCACAAAATTCATGTTGGAATTTGATAGTGTTGCCGGGATTCGCCGAAAAGTTGACCTGTCCAAAAACAAGAACTGTCATTGTGAGTGCCCGCACAAAATGCGGTTGCCATGGGCTCTCAAGCAAGCCATTGTGCAGCAAACCAAAGGCAGTTGATTGCATGAACTCTGATTTTGGCAAGCGCGCCTGCGTGCGATTGCAAACGCCACCCACCTGGGGCCCTCTGAATGCTGAGTGTTGGAGATCAAGCAAGGATTGGCAACCTGCCTCCCTACCTTTTTCTCCGCTTTAACGCCGTTCAATGCTGACCTCTGCTGGAATCTTCTCTCAAATGGTGCCACCTTCCCATCCTTGCATGGTGTCTCATGTCTGGGCAAAGGGACAGCCGTGAAAACGAGGGCAAGCTTGCCAACTCCTTTCGCAATCTCACAGCCAACGGACGTCCACATTACACACTGTTTGGGGGTATCACTTGTTTCGGAACATCCTGTTGGTTTGCTTCGAAGGGGAACCGAACCGAAACTTCAGTTTACTCGGCACCCTAATTTTGAGACCCCATACTACCCCGTACAGATTTCGTGATGCTCTTGATGATACCCACTCCCCGAGTCCGTCCCGCCCGAGAGCCCAGCCTTGCGCTTCGAGGAATCGCTTCCTGAATGTCAACAGGACTCCAACAAGTACGAGCCGGAGCCCGTCCGAGCCCTTCTCGACCCGTTGGAATGCCATGCTGGAAGGCCGATGCAAAGCAGCCTATGTCAGCCTGCACGGGGGGGGGGGGAACCTCAAAGGCACCATAGCCATGCTGCCGCTTTCAAGCACGGAGTGTCGCCCCTTTGCCCTTGGCAATGCATTAAGTTCGGCAAGGCTCAGCCCGTTGTGGTAGCTCCGTGTGCCGCTGCCTCCGGCAAAGGGGCCAATGCCAAAGCACAGCAAACAGCATCACGGGAAATCAGTAGATCCTCCCAGACCGATTCCCTGCCAAAACCAAGGCCTCGAGAATCACGACTGTCGCCGGCACAAGGTTTTGGATTGAGACCTCTCATATGCCGGGGCAGCAAACTCCAGAAGCGGCTTTCGTCTCTGGGATGGACGATTTTTTAACAAGCCCGAAATGACATTCGCCTCTCTTCAAACGTTGATCCCACTTGGGTGTCAGGCAATGCGTCCTGTTCAAATCCCCTCTCCCTCATATTGGAAGGTTTCAACAACCCATGGGCTTCAACACGGACGCAGCCGACGCGCCAAGAGGCAGTTTGGGTCAAAACGCTCCACGAGGGTCCAAGCTTCGGGAAACGATCCGCGCCTATCAGACTCTTGGCGACGATGTAGCAAACCTGGCGCCGGGTATAGCCGATATACCTCGGTCGGCGTCCGGCATGCAAACGCTCAGGTGAGGCACGTTGACGTATTGGGCGTTTCAATCGATTGAAAGATTCTTTTCAGGAATGAGATCCAACCAGGTCCAATGTCCTGTGGCATGCTGGTCCTTGACCTGTTAGAAGGGCTTCTCTGAAGGTTGCTGTCTGGTCGGGGGGAATCCAATGTGATTCTTTGCTTGTTGCCACGCAGATCGATCACTGCCGGGCCGCTGCAAAGGTTCCAGCTGGTCCTCGGCCATGTTCTGCCAAGACCTCGGAATGAGGTTTCGAGGAAAAACCTTGCCCGCAGAGCCTTCTTGGTCCAGAAGTCGACCAAGTGGGTAGTATCCCAAGAAAGCAGTCTGTAAAACAAGCTTTGGTTGCTGTTGATCTTTCTGCAAAAAAAAGTGTTCAACCTGTTGTGTGTTCAACCAAGTCAAAGTCTAAAGATCCGAGCGATCCAACCCACTAGAACCAACCATTGACACTCCTTCCATCGCGGCTTCTCGAGAAGCCCCTCCTCACTCGCGCCCGCGTCCCGTTCCTCCCCTCTGCTGCTGGGCGGCACCCGCGGGGCATCCCAAGGAACCGGGACGAAGTCTCCGCCGAAGGGGGAGGGACCTCCCAGCAACTCCTCCTGCACCCACTTCACCAGGCCTCCAACCAGCCGAGCCGAGAGCGAGGGCATCGTTGCATCGGCTTGCCGTCGAAAACGGGGAGGCGACCGGTCGCTTTGTCTGCTGGTGGCATATTTTTGTTTGCCTTTCGCCTCAGCTGCGCATTGAAGGGCAAGAGCCCTCAACTCTCACCTTCGTGGATACCAGGATTCAAGGCGTTGAGTGCCATTCAGGACTGCCATCCGCCTCGCAATTCTGTTTAGCCTTTTTACCTAGCGCTTTCACACGATGTTCAACTCTTCTTCTCCAATATCTTCGCACATTTCGCCGCTTCCACCTGCACCAACCGGTTAATTGATGCGACATGTGCCCACGTCGGTCTCAACAAAATCAACTGCCAACGTGCCCTGTGTCTCATGCCTTGTTTCCTGGATGAACTGAGAGGCTGTGGCTGGTGCAGATGTGTTCCTCGCATGCACCCCCCCTCCCAAACATCACTTCAGACACGCTTGCCCACATTTTGCGGGCACACTATAATTACTATACACACCCTGCCAAGTGTCAACTCGTCTTAAGCAACTCAGGCAGTGACAGGACGAGTCTCTTTTTTGCAAATTCCGCACCTAGAACACTCCAATGCTGTAGGAATCATCCCGTTTTCGAGGCTCGTGGCCAAGGTCCCAGGGCCCCACCTTCGCCAGTGACGGGCTTCTGGTGAGGGCTCTCCGAGTAGGTCAAGTTCTTCCAAAACCCGCCTGCGCGGCGCGCCATCTCTTCACCCCATGGCAACCTCACGTGACCTTTGGGACAGCTCAGGCGTTTGAATTGTCTGAACCCCTAGCCTCAGATGGCCACAACGAGCCAACTCCAACCCCCCACGCACACGCGAAGGCCTGGAAAAGCATCGTCGAAGGCCTGCTTCACCTCGGTGAAGGCATCGTGCACTGTTGAAACATGTTGAAACGAAGGGCACCCAGACGCAAGCCGAATGCGAACCCCAAATTCCGAAAGCTGGCCTACTACTCCGGTCCCAGGCCCTAAAAATCGAGGTTTTCTCTAAGCCCCATCGCATCACCTGGACCCATGAAGCGCAAGCCAAGCACAGTGCGATCCGGCTTCTCCCACTCGCAGTTGCGGACATGCTTGACGTTGGTGAGAACCTGCCCTGGCAAGCGATTTGGGCCTTAGGTCCTTGTGACCAGGCGGGGGTTGGGTTGCCCCTTGCACAACTAGAATAAGGATACCACTTTTTCTGTAGTCTATCTTAATAGGGGAGAACCCTCCCCCCAAAAAAGGGTAAAAGGGCACTACTGGGGGACCTAGACAGAGGTATCGGCGCTCACTTGAGTTTACCCATGCTTACCCTCTTTGCCACCTCTCGCCTGCCCAAAGTCAAGCCGAACCGCCCGTCAGGGAGTGCAGTCTCAAGCAAGGGCAAGCCATCTTGTTTTCAAGGATGTTAAAAAATCTCAACAGTTCCTGTGAGCACCCGGGAACCCCAAGGCAGTTGTCAGCTGACCCCCCCTTGTGTCTCCTGCTGCCAGGCCAGCTGCCAAGCCAACTGCCAGTGCCAACCGCATGGCGGGTGAAGACACAGGCTGCCAGGCAGTGAGCACAGGCTGCGGGGATGAAGTGACATCCTCCATGTACCGTGGTTTAAGTAGCGAACCCGCCCCCCCCCCCCCCGAAGAGAGAGTAGAGTTTGAGAACCCCTCAAAAATTCCCTTTTGACCCAACGACATGTGAAATTGCAGCACAGGATGCCTTCAAGGATCTGGGTGTGCTTTTGTTCTTCCAGCGCATCTGTTCTCAGAAGCACCCTAGGCACGCTTAGCAAGAACGAAAGTCGCGAATGCCAAGGCCAGCACGACCCTCCCAAGAGCCCAACCTCAGCTGGCAGCACTTAACATGCCAAATGTGGCATGTAAAACGCGACAAAGCATGAACCAATGCCATGGAACTCTCCGACCAAAGAACTGGACCGGGGAAACAGGCAGTGCCCGTTGTGCTTCCCGTTTGCCGTAAATGACACGCTCATCAGGATCCCAACGAACAAACACCAATTAGCAAAGCCCGGCCGAACCAGTCGCGTCAGCGCCGTCACCTTTTCCCATTGTGTGCTTTGCGCGGTCCACCTGGGCCCTCTAGCTGAATGTTGGAGCAGGTTGCCAAAGCCGGCCTTTTGATCCCTTTGGTGGTTTTGATCCCTTTGGTGGCTGTGTGGGATCGCCGTTGGGTCATGGCTCATAGATTCAAGCTGTTTTACCCCTAGCTCCTTTAAACCAGCGTGGAAAACAGCAACTTTGAGATGCGACTGCCACTAATCCGACTGAGCCAACACACCCAGCGAGGCGATCGGGCCTGAAGCCGACAGATAGAGAAGACCAACATGTCAAGGCGCCGCACCAACGAAGCTGCACAGATTGACATTGGTAGTGCATATTCGCTGATGAGGACTCAAATTGGACTTGTGTTAACTTTTCTACAGTCAACTCTCCAGCAAACAACATTTTGTGTGCATTCAGGTTCAGCCTTCCCTTGGATTCCTTGGCCCTCCTACGCCCTGCTACCAGGCCCTTGGCCCTCCTACCAGGCTTGGCCCTTCTCTGGAAGTGCCTCACTTCCGGCGCACCCAGAACTCGCTAGCTGCCAGCTGTTGCGCCTCCCGGCTCACTGGCAAGCCCTTGCCTTCCTCTATGGGCGCCGAAACGCTGGGACGGCTCTGCAGGTTGCCTCAGGCACTGTCCGATGGATCAAGGGGATGTTGGGTCCCCCTCTTCTCCCCTTCTCCGAATACAAAAGCGACGAAGCCTCGTACGTTCAAACAGGGTCCAGTAAACCAGAAAAGTCCGTGTTTCTGATTTGCCCTTCTGCAGCACCAATCGAGGCTCATTCCGCTGGATGAACTGGCTTACAGCCAAAGACTTTGAGGAACCTGGGGCAAGCCCGCTCAAATTCATTGCCTTCTGCTTCGCTTCCTGGGTGTGAAGCACCTTCAAGCCCCAGTCTGGCTCGGCTACCTCCGCGTTCCCTTGGCCCAAACCAAACCAAGCGAAGCCAGCCTGAGCTGCATAATGAAAGGAGGCCAAGTGGCCCAGGGTGATGACATGGCACATGGTGCCGCCAATGCCTGGGTGCCAAGTGGGTCGTGGGCCATCCACTGTCGACTTCCGCTAAGGAAACTCAAAAATATGCGGTGGCATGCCCAAAGAAAGTCGTCCTAACTATGCAACCTTAAAGAACACTCAACATAGGTATACGGTATACGGTAAACGAGCGGTTCGAACGAGTGAACCTTCAAGATTTGAAGATTGCTGCAAACGATGTTTTGGGGCCCAGGTGCTCTTGGCGGTCATGCCAAAGTAAGTGCTCAAGCCCTCCATCTGCAGGTGCTCGGTGCTAAAAAGCGCCTGCTCCTCCTGACCAGGCTCCTCGATGTGCGGGTTCAGCTGCTGCAAGTGCAGAGAAGGAACCACTGCGCCATACTTCTGGGTGAGCAGCACCTTGAGCACCTGGGCGACTTCAAATTCCATGGGCCGCTCAACAAATCTCTCTCGCATGGGGTGGAGCGCTCAGTTGCCCCGTGTGATGAGAATGGCAATCAGCTGCCCACAGTCTGAATGGCAATCAGCTGCCGACAGTCTCACACCCAAAACCCAAATTGAAAAGAAACAACACCCAAAGCAGAAAATCGTCCAGGGTTGCCATTCGCATGGGTGTCCTTTTTGGGAAAATAGATGGCCCTGGTAGTTGTTTGAACCACAAGGTGAACTAAACCCCTCCCTTTTTCAACCAAAGCAACCAACAAGGACAGCTATGGGAGTCACGCGTCTTTGAAACCATGTTGGCGCAACGGGCTTGCCTGCGCCATGCCGGCGGCCTCCATGGGCATGCCACAGGCGCTGAAGCCGCTGCTGAGGGCCAGCGGCAGCTCGTTGTCCCCATAGCCCCGCAGAGTTCGCTTCAACGCCTGGTTGAGATGGGGTGAAAACCTCGCGGATTCTGTCGAAATGGAAAGGTCCTGATTGAAAATGACTCATTTGGATGGGACACCCCCCCAACAATGACTCATTAAGAGAAAAACACCCGGGAGAAAAAAAAAAAACGGCGTGAGGAGAGATTTCAGGAATGACAACCTTGGGAGGGGGACACCCCAAATCAAATCTTGGAGATAAACTACAATCGGCTTTGGGAACCTGGGCTTGGTCGTCGGGAAGGGCCGGCGGTTTGCTTTGCGGCGTTGAACGCAAAGGCGGCGAGAGAATTTGGTTGCTGTGTTTCCCATTGCTTCAAGTTCCCACACCACAAGCAAGGGCCCCCACTCAGAAAGTACACGTGAAAACCCTTACCTATTGCTGGAAGTAACTGGGAAGTTGAGTTCTTGGTTGCTGCTGACCCCCCTGCAAAAAGTTTAACTTTTTGGGGGTTTAGTAGAAAACACCTTTATTTCTAAAAAAGTTAAAGTCTAAAGATCCAACCCAATAGCAGTCAAGAGTTCTTACCTATTGTTCGAAGCAACTGGGAAGCTGAGTTTAGGCGCCCATTTTGGCGTGCGTTCGGCGCCTCCCCCTCCACGGCATCCTGCATGAGCAGGCCATGGCTGAAGCACTCCACCGCATCGATGGTGGAGGGTGAAATGGCTGCCTGACGGATCGCCTGAAGGATCAGCTCCCCTTCCTCACAGGGACGCGAGGGACGCGTTGCGACGCTGCAGGGACTGAATGGAGCGGCGGGTATGGTGGGTGGCTTTGACCCCCAGCGATTGAGTGGGGCGGTGGGTATGGTGGGTAACCATCCCCACCCGTTTCACATGGAACCAACTCAGACGTTTCGGGGAATTGGTCCCGGTTTGGACCGGGCTCCTTTAAAGAGATCGGGTCCCAAACGTCGGGTTCCATGTTGACAAGTACCTCGATCTGAACGGAAACCCAAAGAAGCCCATCCAGGTCTTCACCCGCATGGGATGGGGGAAGCGCGGCCGACCTCCCCTGCCTGAGGCCCGGAAGGTGCGGTCAAAGATGCCCCCCGCCCTGTGTGGTTGGCATGGGTTGCAGCGATGGTGCCCCGAATTTCCAGCTCCTCCTGGCACGGGGGGGCTATGGCTTGAAGTGCACGCCGCCACAATACCAAGCCAGAGCTATGGCTCCGTGCGGTTTTCGGCATTCGAAGTGAGGCATGTGAAAAAAAGCCTCCGAGTCTGGCCAGGAATGGTGCGAGGTAAATCCATCTGGTGCTCCCACTGTCTCACTCGGCAGTGGCTTCACTTCCAAACGGAACAGAACGGCCGTGAGAGAAGCTCCCGAACCCCGAAAGCACGGCGACATGTCGAAATGAGGGACGAGCAAGCCACTTTCAAGAGCTTACCTCCAGAAGACCGGCCAAGGATGGTCCCGATTGACCGTCGGTTTGGATCAGGAACACGCATATGTCCCATTCTTGAACAACCCCCAAACACAACCTCCATCCAAAGAAAGCCCGCATCTCAAAACCATTCATCCCCCCCATCTATCTCCATCTTGCCTCCTTGTCCAACTCACCTTTCTACCCTGACTTGAGCAACAACGCTTGAAGATTGGAAGTTCTCCTGTTTGAGACTTTGAGGCCATACTTACTCTGGATCAAACATTGGATGAGCTGATGGGATACTTGGTGCCAGAACGCGTAACTGCTTGGCTAAAAACATGGTCTTGCACATGAATATCAGAGTGTTTTTTTGTTTTTTTTGCATTCCATGTTGCCTTTCCCCACTGCTGGGCACCCAGAAGTCAAAAGCTGGAATCGCTTCGAATCCATGCAAGTCACCCATTGAGCCCCGGTGAGCTGACGACAATTTGTGCAAACTCAGCTGCCCTGCCGCCGCCATGGAGGAGAAAACAGTGCCCCTTTTGGTGATGAATGTTTTTGGCAACCCAAAGCAGGGTTTGCCTTTTCCACTGAAATGAACAGACTCCCTTGACAAGGGTTTCAACACTACCAGGGGGGGCTGCTGATTTGTCAACCACAAGCAGTGGAACAGGCAAACCATGAGCACGAAAAGGTCTTGCCTGCTCTTTCTCCAGGGTCAGCACCAGGTTAGCCACTCCGTCGCTCTTCACCAAGCCGTCCGCGCTCTGGTCGAAGGTGAGGCACCTGCCCTGCTGGCTCAGGTGACCCTTGCTGCTCATCAGGATCCAGGTGGATCCGGCGATCATCAGGTAGATTCCTGAGACACGCCAAAGGTGGACCAAGGAAGAAATCCCCAGGTTCCCCAAGGCTCCCTACATATCGGACCCAACCTTTCATGAAAACCAAACTCGACCCTTTGAACCTCTCGAGCGGCCCAAGGACACATTGAATCATTGGGCATTCGGGTAAGAAATAGCCGCAGAAAATAGTTCTAGGAGTGCCTCCGATTTGTTCGCTGGTCCATTTGGTCCCCACACATGAGTTTACATGAGCTCACCCAACCTTCAGGGCCTGCACATGCAATCAAATCAGATTGGGTGCTCAACCCTCGTCTAAGTAGGTTAGACTCATGATTCCAAAGAAAGCAAACCTTTGTTGGCCCAAAAAACCGGGGCCATGACCTGACTACCAAGTGGGTTGACTACCAAGTGGTTTGAACACCTAAGTAAACCCCTCGATTCACCCTCGCCCAAAAACCGCACCGCTGGCTCCCAAGGCTTTTGGAAGCGCCACGGTGCCACCAATCAGCGCCGTGTGGTTCGGCTTGTAGAGGTCGGTCTGCAGCCTTAAGCTCATGGCCCCGTTGGTCAGTGCCTGAGCAAATTGACCCAGCGGGGGAGCGCAAGAGAGCAGGTCCCTCTGGTTATCCAATGGCCAACATCCGTTTGCTTAAGTCCCCTGAAAAACAGAAGGAACAAAAACATGAATCTGTCCAGTGGTGAT